AAAGAATATTCTCATTTTAAAATAAAGTAGACCTAAAACCATGGCATTGTTCAAGCAGTAATTCTGCCTTAATTCTTTCACACAAAAAATTGTAACTTAAAGTAACCCCGTATTAACTATTCAGTTGTTTTTCTATTGTTCTGTTTCCCTGTCCCTGCCTTGCTGGGATAGTGACTTTGAAATGCTAAAAAAAAGAGAAAGAAATATATATTTAAAGATATTAAAATGAAGGTACTTAAAATAGTCTAGTTAACAATTTTTTAAAGCTAATATGTATTAAAGCAAAATATTGCCTAGATATGAACATCTTAGGGAGTCATTTGGCTGGCAATTGTCTTGGGGTTCTTTTGTATATTCAGCACGTAATCATGGCGGAAGGATGATCGGACAGTACGATTCATCAAGGGCTGAAGGGGGCGAAAGTTGTCCACCATTCTTTTCTCTTTCTCCCCCTCAGAAGTGAAAAGCAAGGTCCGAAATTGCTCAAGCTGAAAAAAAAAATTTTTGAAAAAGGACAAATAAATTTAGTAGAAATCCAGCTTTGTCTCGTGAATAAATAACTTCCATTTTTCTAATTCTAAAACATTTTGTCCCAAACTGGATTCAGAAGCAGAAGTTATTTCTAAGTAAGATACCTTCACCCTCCACAAGGAATAAAATACTATGTTTTGCCATCCTTATGTGAGAAGGTGATGAAACCAGCCATTCACTTTGAATCAGAAGACTGAGGACAAAGGCCCTGTCGCCCATATTAACCATTTATCAAAGATGAGTTACTTTATCTCTTTGATTCTCAAGAACTTAATATTTAATTGAGCAAAACAGTCAGCCAAATAATAAAGAAAGGCCTGATACATACAGTAACAGCATAAAAAGTATGTTTTTTAAAAATTTACCAAATCATTAACATAAAATTGTGTAATTGATTGCTCACTGCAATTTGTATTGTGAGCAAAGAAATAACACATTGAGGTCTTGTGAGATGCTTCATACTGGTGCTGTCCAATAGAACTTTTTCTAATGGTAGAAATATCCTCTGCATGGTCCATCCTGGTAACCACAAGACACATATGGCTACTGAGCACTTGAAATGTGACCAGGTGACCAGTGTGAGAAACTGAATTTTTTATTTAAGTTGATTCATATTTAAATATAAGTGGCCATATGTGGCTAGTGGCTATTATGTTGGATAGTATAGCTCAATACAGAAGCAGCAACCCAAAATATTAAGGCAATATGTTGTTCTTTGATGTGGCAATAGCCCCTTGTCTTTCTTAGCAACCATGTTATAGCATACTACTTCAAGCTAGCCAGAAAATCTGTTCAGTCAATCTGGCCCACTGTGGCTACATAGAATAACCTGGGTCACAGTAAGTAAGCATGTAAAAATTTGTTTGGAGGGCTGGGGGTGTAGCTCAGTGGTAGAGCACTTGTCGAGCAAGCACAAGGTCCAACAAAAAGAAAAAGAAAAAAGAAAATTTAGTTTGTTGAAGTAAAGACTTCAGACCAAATAAAACTGAAGAAGTAGGACATGATCAGAAGCAAGTACCAACAGAGTGGTTGTACTTGCAAATTACACATATGCCTTAGGAAATTAGGAAGCTGTACAAGTAGTTAATGTTAATTTTTTATTCAGCTAATTGAAAAAGATTAGAAACAACCCAAGTACCATAAAGTAGGTAATAAAAAGTGACATGAGATCAATAAAATGGGCTAGTATATATCCATTAAAATTATATAGAAGATAATGGTTATTATCTATAAAATGTTCTGCACATCACTGAGCAAAAAGACAAGTAAAATGGTATGCACAGAATGATTCTGTTACAAAAATTACATATATTTATATAGATAAAAGACCTGCAGGATTTCCCCCAAACAATGAATAACACTGAATGGTAGGATTCCAGGTTACTAGGATTAGTTGACAGGAAATGGTTTTTTAACTGAATTTCCTGTGTTGAGATTTTATTTGAAAATTCCTTACATGGGCTACTGACCTTCTGATTTATTTATTTTTTAACTTTTTAGTGTTATGAAAATTATAAATATGAAGACTAGTAGCAGAAAATGTGTAAACCACAAAGCCTAGGCTTATGGGCAACCAAAATCTGTTATTTGTCATTTATTTATGGTGGTTTTTATATTACAGAATTTTTTAAAAATACGCAGTCTCAGTTACTAGCTGTTTTCTTTTGGACTTCTTGTTTTGTATTATAATTAGATAAAGCTTCTTTCATATGAAGGTATGAAAGGATTTTCCTATGCTTATTCTAGGATTTTTATGATGGTATTTTTTGCATTTAATAGTTTGAATGCTGGATCCAACTTTTTTCCCCCACTCATTTAACTCCTCAGTTGTTCCTTAGTAGCACTTACTGAATGCTGTATCATTTCCCCTCACTGAGCTGAGATGCTACCTTTATCCTAAAATAAATTCTCATATGTATTTGGATATAATTTTGAACTTACTGTTTTATTCCTGTGATGTCTAATTTTATGTGCCAACTTGATTGGGCCAGGGATGCCCAGATAGCTAGTTAAGCACTATTTCTGGATATGTCTGTGGGAGTGTTTTCTAAAGAAATTAAGATTTGAATTGGTGGACTGAGTGAAGCAGATAGCCTTTCCAATGTGGATGGACATCATTTAATCCACTGAGGACCTGAATAGAACAAAAAGGCATAAGGCTGAATTTGCTCTGTGACTATTTTTTTTTTTAACTGAGACATCAATCTTATGCCTTTTGGAGCTCCTGATTCTCAGTCTCCAGACCAGGACTGGAATCTACACCATTGGCTTATCAGGTCTCAGGTCTTTGGGCTACCCTACCAGCTTTCCTGGGACTCTCAGCCTTTATAATCACATGAGAAAATATCTTATAAATAAATCTCTATCTCCATCTCTCTGATGGTTAATCTTGGTTGTTAACTTGATGGATTGAGAGGTGCCTTGAAATTGTTAAAGCACACTCTGGGTGAATCTATGAGGGTGTTTTCAGAAATGATTGGCATGTGGGTCAGAGAACTGAGGGGGGAAGACCTACCTTGAATGTGGGTGCACCATTCAATAGACTGGGGGCCCCCAGACAGAACAAAAAGCAGTAGAAGGGGATGCTCATAAGCTCACATTTGTGCAAGCTCCATTCTCCTACAGTGGATGTAGTTTTTGATGCTGCCATTGCTGTGAATATGGCTCCAGATTTTTCAGGTTTTGAACATGGACTTATACTAATGACTTTCCAGGGAGCTCCCAGGCCTTCAGCCTCAGATTGAGGCTGCATCGTTGTTCCTTCTGGTTCTGAGACTTCCAATTTCTTAGACTGAGTAGTTACTGATTTCCTCAGTTTTCCAGCCTGCATCCAGCTTCTGATCATGTAAGCCAATCTAATAAATCTCCTCTTATATATACATTCTATTCTGTTTTTCTAGAGGACCCCAATACTAATTCATCCTCCCCACCATTGGTTCTGTTTCTCTGCAGATTCCTAGCACACTTCACTTAACTGTTCTTTTTATTCATGCATCAGTACTATAGTATTTAATTTTTGAGTCTTTATAATTTTGTGAATGTAATCATTCCTCATTTTCTCTTTTAGAATTTTTCCTGGTTATTTATACTTATCTGTTTTTACTTGAATTTAGAGTAACATACCTATTTAAAATTTTATTGGTATAGGGACTGGGGTTGTGGCTCAGTGGTAGAGCACTTGCCTAGCACATGTGAGGCACTGGGTTTGATCTTCAGCACCACATAAAAATAAATAAATAAAATAAAGGTATTGTGTCCATCTACAACTAAAATTTTTATTGGTATATTTATTGAGACTATGTTAAGTTTATGGAGAATAAACAATTCATGAAGAATAACAACTTCAGGAGAATAGATAGCAAAGGTGTTTTTATGATATCTTCCTGTCCAATAATATAGAGTGAATTTTACTAACTCATCTTCTTGTGTCCTGCAGGAATATTTTAAGTTTTCTTATTGAATTCTCTTCTTAAACTTATTGCAAAGTATTTTATATTTTAAAATAATTTAAACATTATTTTATAATGTTTCTATTATAAATAGGGTTCTTTCTTCCATTATATCTTTTAACTAATTGTGATTTACATATTTCAAATATATTTTTTATTTATATAAATTAATATGGTAGGGGCTGGGGTTGTGGCTCAGTGGTAGAGCATTCACCTACTATGCATAAGGCACTGGGTTCAATACTCAGTACCACACAGGGTAAAAATGGGAGTTCATAATCTGCTTGAATCAAATGTATGAAATATGATATGTCAAGAGCTTTGTAATGTTTTGAACAATAATAAAAAATAAATAAAAATAAAATAAAATAAAGGTATTGTGTCCATCTATAACTTAAAAAATGTAAAAAAAATTAATATTGTACTCCAGTAATCACCAAATTAACTTATATTTTGTAGTATATTTTATTGTTTCTCCTATTTTTTAAAATTTTCTCATCTAATTGTATTAGCTACTTCTAGAACATTTTTTTTTAAGAGACAGGGTCTTGCTTTGTTTCCCATAGCTGGCCCAAAATTCCTGGGCTCAAGAGATTCCCCTGCCTAAGCCTTAGGTGGGTCAACAGACACACACCACTAAACCCTGCTAATTCCAGAATATAATTTAATATAAAATTTAATATTGGAATAATCCTCTCTATATTAAACATACTATAGTTGGTCCTCTGAATTCATGAATTCCACATTTGTGGATTCTTCCAACTGTGGATCAAAAGTATTGGGGGAAAAAAATTGCACCTGTCCTGATCATGTACAGACTTTTTTCTTGTCATTATTCCCTAAACAATACATTATAACAACCATGTACATAGGATATACATTGTAGTATGAGTACTCTAGAGATGATTAAAGTATACAGGATGATGTATGTAGGTCACATGCAAATATTATGCCATTCCATGTAAGGGCTTGAGCATCTGTAGATTTTGGTATCTGTGGGGAGTCTTAATCCTCTGCAGATACCAAGTGACAACTGTATTTACTTTCCTTTCTTTTGTTTTCTTTTTGTTCCTTCAGTGCTGGAGATGAAACCCAGGGCCTCACTCATATTAGGTATATGTTCTACCACTGAACCACATCCCTAGCTCTGTTCAAATTTACTTTTAAACTGAGATCAATCTCTTTTATCATATTAAGTAAGTCTCTATTCATTTCTATTTTATTAAAAATTATTTAAAACTGTCAGGTGGAGTGGGGTAGGGTTGTGGCTCAGTGGTAGAACACTTGCCTAGCACGTGTGAGGCACTGGGTTCAATTCTCAGCACTTTATACAAATAAATAAAATAAAGGTCCATCAACAACTAAAAAGATATTAAAAAAAAACTGCCAAGTACAGTGGCATATGCCTGTAATCCCAGTTATTTGGGAAGCTCAGGCAGGAGGATTGCACGTTCAAGGCCAGCCTGGGCAACTTAGTCAGACCCTGTTTCAAAATAAGTATAAAAGGCCAGGGATATAGCTCAGTGGTAGAGCATCCCTGGGTTCAATCCGAAGTAATGCAGAATAAATAAATACTGAATAGAAAAATTTACAAATGTCTATTAAGAATCTATAGAACCCAGGTGTGGTGGAGCATGCCTGTAGTCCCAGCAACTGGAGAGGCTAAGACAGGAGGACCGCAAATTCAAGGCCAGTCTCAGTAACTAAGTGAGGCCCTAAGCAACTTAGAGAGACCCTGTTTCTAAATAAAAAAATAAAAAGGGCTGGGGATACAGCTCAGTGGTAAAGTACCTCTGGGTTCAATCCCCAGTACAAAAAAATAAAAAAAGAATCTATGGAAATAACATGACTTTTAAACATTAGATTCACTGATATAATGAATTATATTAATATCATTCATAATGAATCATTCTTCCTACATTACTACAATATACACGACTTGGACAAAGTATGTAGTTCTTCTAATGTATTGGTAGATTTTTATTTTGGATTCTATTTCTAATATTTTAGGGCTTTTTTTGTTTGTTTGTTGTTTTTTAGCTTGTGTGTTCTTCAGAGATACCAATTCAGAGTTTACTCTTGAGGAAGGGTCCAATTTTCAATGGATGTTAATATTGGTAATCCTGACTTCATAAAAAAAGAGTTTAGAAGGCTTTTTTTGTGAAAATGGTTTATAGTCAATTTTTTAAAATCCCATAAAGCAATTATGAGCAAATACTATTTTACTTTAGTTATAATATGAATTAAACAGGATTCTGTTTATCGACATAGTAGCTACCACTCAAACTTATTTTCTAGGGAAAAAAATTAGTCCCAGGTTTTTTTTTTTTAAAGAGAGAGTGAGAGAGGAGAGAGAGAGAGAATTTTTAACATTTATTTTTTAGTTCTCGGCGGACACAACATCTTTGTTTGTATGTGGTGCTGAGGATCGAACCCGGGTCGCACGCATGCCAGGCGAGCGCGCTACCGCTGAGCCACATCTCCAGCCCCAATCCCAGGTTTAAAACAAGTAACTTACATTAAAATTCTTGGACAGTCATTGTTAGATTCTTTTTATCTTGCGATTCTATTGCAAAATTCCCTTAAGAATTTTAAAGATCTTTGAATATATCTCATTGCCAGCCTCCATTCTTCCTTTTAAATGGGTCTTGAATTTATATAGAGATTCATGCTCTCTATAAAATGCACAATGTATAAAACATAGGTAATTGTTAAATACAGAAGCAAGCAGCTTATGTTCTTCCTTGTTTGAACTCTTCTTTCAAATTAATCTGAAGCATTTCCTAAATCATATCCAAATTAAGATACGGTATTAAAACTGTCAAAGTTTGAACCCAACCTTTTTTTTTAGACAGGCAAACTAGGGTCTCCACAGATGGAAAACGTGAAAACAACATACCTGATCATGATCAACCTCTACTGGCTGCTTCTTAATGATCCAGGTGACAGACTCAGAGAGGGGAGGGGTAGTCAGAGACCCAGAGTATGTCCAGTAATCCGGGCAGGCAGGCATCATGCAGGAAGGGTCAAATGACCCAAATTCCACAAGGGTGTCCTGGCCATGAGAAGAAGTTACCCAGCTATTATTCAGTAGTAAAAACCACTCAGGAATTAGAAAATCACTGAGGCAATGATTCTCAGGGGGTCTGGGGACCAGCAGTGGTCCCAGGGAGCTCCAGGCACCCTGGGCAGCTTTCTGCTTAACACAGAATCATGTCCAGGCTTTGTTTCCACAATCAACTGTGTATTTCTGATACTTCTTAGTGGGAGAACAGTCAGAACCATTGTCTCCCTCAATTTTGATGAGCCTATAGCAGGTGGTCCCCTCTGTTATTGGGAGATCTTAGGTAGTGACTGCTGCATAAACAAGGAGACTTCTCCTATTCAAGACAGACTAATGCAGTTTAAATCAGGAGGAGCCAGAATCCTGGACTGAGGAGAGAGGGAAAGAGAGAGAGGGGATGGAAAGGGGGAGAGATGGAAAATGAGGGAGGGAAAGAGGAGAAGAGAGGAATGATAAACAGACTTCCAGGGAGCAGATCTTTGGGGTGATGAATGTGGAGGACTTCATCTTGGGGACTGGACAAGGGACAAGGATAATTGTTCTTTACAGCCAGACAAATCAAGTCTCTAAAGGACTTTTCTTGCTCCTTCCCTGTGGATGTGACTATAGAAAAGAAGACTGCTCATCTGGGTGTTTTCACAAGGACTTGCAAGGAGTTGGTGTCAAGAACAAAGGAGGGGAAAGTAGTATGTTCATAAGTCCAGAGTCCCAAGCAGCATGGCAGCAAGACTAGAGAGCTCAATGCCCATCAATGCAGTCACGTCTGTGCCCTGCAGTGGGATCCAGGGCCAGGGGCTCTTAACACAAGCATCATAAATGCCAAGTTCCCTACCTCGGCAGTGTTGAAGGAGAACCTGAACACAGGTCACCTAATTACACTTCCTGGTACAAAGGGCCTATTAATGTCTCCACTCTGAGATTGGAAAATAAAGTATATTTCAAGTGAGCCAGAAAAAAATATTACCTTATGCTTAATTGATGGCAAAGAATCCACCAACTTCTGTAGCTCTTTATGATGTTTGCCTAGCTAAAGAACAAAGACAAAAATATTAATAACAACAGACATCTCGCTGTAGAAACTGTAACAGAATGGGAATTAAAATTAACCACCTGATGATTACATATAAATAAACCACAGGACTGAAACTAGACTTAAGCTGATAATTGAGAATGTTATAAACATCACTGAATTCAATTAGATACAAAACAAATGAGTAGGCTGTTTGCTGAAAGGCCAGGTGCCTGCAGGGAAAGGTGCCTCCAGGCCCTATTAAGTATCAGATCTTACATTAAAATTTAAATTAATTAAAATTAGAAATTATTCTGCACTTGCACTAACTACGTTTCAAGGGTTCAATTGACACAGATGGCTTGTGATTCTAGTACTGTGCACTTTTATATCATTTGAAACATATTCATAATAACCTTGTGTTTTAAGCATTGTTTATTTTACCAGACTATTGACCCTAATACTCTTAAAATAAATAACTTATATTGTAATGTTCTAACTTTTTAATTTTTTTTGATTTTTAAAATATTTTGAGTTGTAGATGTTATTTATTTATTTTTATGTGTTACTGAGTCTCAAACCCAGTGCCTCACACATACTAGGCAAAAGCTCTACCGGTGAGCCCTCTTTTTTATTTTTGGTTACTGGGATTGAACCCAGAAGTGCTTAACCACTGATCCGCACCAAAGCCCTTTTATTTTATTTTATTTTTTGGTGGGGGGTACTAGGGATTGAGCTCAGGAGCAGTCAACCACTGAGCCATACCCGTAGCCTTATTTTGTATTTTATTTAGAGACAGGGTCTTGGTGAATTGCTTAGTGCCTCAATTTTTTGCTGAGGCTGGCTTTAAACTTGTGATCCTCTTACCTCAGCCTCCAGAGTTTTTGGGATTACAGGTATGCACCACAGTGCCCAGTTATTTTTAAATTTTATTATTATTATTATTATTATTTTAGTACTGGCCACTTAACCACTGAGCCACATTCCCAGCCCTTTTTTAATATTTTTTATTTAGAAACAGGGTATTCCTAAGTTGCTTAAGGCCTCGCTAAGTTGCTGAGGCTAGCTTTGAAATTGTTATCCTCTTTCCTCAGCCTCCAGAGCTATTGGGATTATAGGCATGCACTACAGTGCCCGGCTATCTTTGCATTTCTTGGGTACAAGAAGACATCATTTAAAGTTAATAAGGTTTTTTTTTTTTTTTTGGTGTGTTTATTACCTTTAAAAATACTCCTATCACAGCCAAACCATTTTCTTCCAGCGCAGCATCCTCGAAGGTTTCAAACTTGACTGCATTCCAATGTACCAAGTGCAGCTGGAACATCGTTAAAAGTGAGTTTAACATATAACCCTACAGGATCATTCCCAAATAAACTGTCAACCTCTTTCAACATACACATTTAATCATGTTTCTTCATCCCAAATAAAGCTACTGAGAAAAGCATATGACAATTGTGTATAAAATGAGATATTGAAAACAGGGAAAATTTAGGCAAGAACAATTAATATCACTTTGGAAGAGAAAGATTTATTAATGGAGAAAAATAGATTCACATAGCAAAGTACCATTTTAGTAAGGAATCAACATTTGTTCATTCCCATCTTGATTTGCATGAAATACTAATATCTAAAATCTATTTGCATCTAAGGGAGAGAAGCTGTTTATATACTAACAGAAAGAGATCCTCCCTATGGAAATTAGACAGGAGTTGAAGACAGATTTCTTCTTGGCAGGATAACCATTTGCAATGTGTTTTCTTTTTTCTTTGGGGTGGGGATGGGGGGGGGGCGATACTGAGGACTGAACACCCAGGGCCTTGTGCCCGCGAGGCAAGCACTCTACCAACTGAGCTATATCCCCAGCCCATGTTTTCATTTTTAACATAACATTTCAAACAGAATTAGGGGGAAAGTTGTAAGAAGAAATTCAATTTCCTTATGCTCTCTTTATATTTTCTTATAAATCATTCCTCATGTATCATTCATGAATATGACTGCATTATCACCCAGCCTCCAAATGAGACACCTCAAGGTCAGAGTTAACTTTGTCATCTTTTCTCCTGAAGAGGATCCCATAAACATCCAGGTCCTAGTGCTTTTATTTCAGAAATGTTCAATAAATTTTTTTCTTTCTATTTCTATTGTGATAGACTTCATTTAGGCCCCACATTTCTCATTTGGATTAATCCAACCTGTGGCTGTGCATTGTTTCCTGGATTAGTACTTTACACAATAGTTTGAGCCTAGTTTAGAATTCTGGAAGAATTCAGTTTCAGGATTTGTTTGTTTATTTTGGTTTGTGGTACAGGAAATTGAACCCAGAGGCACTCTACCACCGAGCTAATCCTCAGTCCTATTTATTTATTTATTTATTTATTTTGGTGCTGGAGATTGAACCCAGTGCCTCTTTACCACTGAGCTACATTCCCAACACTTTTTATTTTTTATTTTGAGACAGGGTCTCACTAAATTGCTGAGGCTGACCTCATACTTGTGATTCCCCTGCCTCAGACTCCCAACTCACTGGAATTACAGACATGCACCAGTGTGCCCAGCTCATCTTTTTATTGTTTATTTTTAAATAGGATCTCAATTAATTGCTGAGGGTATTGTTAAATTGCCCAGGTTGGCCTTGAACTCACAATCCTCCTGTCTCAGCCTACCAAGTAGCTGGGATTACAGGTGTGTGATACCATGTCAGACAGTTTCAGAATATTAAGGTTCATTTCAACCATTTTATTTCAGATGTATGTAATTTTTACATGTCTAGGCTAGAAATGATCAAATATGCCCCTGATTGAGTTATGTAGCATTTATAGGAACAACCTCATTCTTTCCTCTAACTTCTTAGAACTACAAATGTTAGAACTATCCCCACTTCTCCACAGTTGTCCCAGTTCCTGACCTTCTCAACATACCTCTGCTGGGTAGCATTTGCTGTCCACAGTGTGCTCAGAGCCCCAGGCATCAATTGCCCCCCAGTGAAAATGGAACTGCTTCAGTCTGTAGATGTGTTCCAGGGGTCCTCCTTCAATCACTGAAATGGAACATCCAACAATTCAGGGGATAGTTATTTACACTGTGGGGAAAAGGCTGAACCTGCAGGTGGACCATCTTTGTGAACTGTCTGAAATGGAGTACACCATATTATATACAAGAATTTATAACTTGATTTCCATGCAGTCAATACATGTATAAGGGCAAGATAAAATGGCATTAAGATTTAACCAGCAAAGCTACATGCAACTGTTAAGGCCAATTTTTGACTCATTTCTATATACTATAGTTTCTGTGATGCACAATAAAATGCAAGTTTCTCTTAGCATATTTATTCAATCCAATCTGATAAAACAAATACAGTGACAAAAGATACTCTCTTTTTTATGCAATAACAATTTGCTTTTTAACTTTTGGAGATATTAATATTTCTTTTCCTTTCACAGAAATGAAATAGGAAATTTACAAGTCAAAAATGATTGCCTAGGGGGCTGGCCAGGGCTATGGCTCAGTGGTGGAGTGCTTGCCTAGCATGTGTGAGGCACTGGGTTCAATCCTCAGCACCCCATAAAAATAAATAAAGGTATTGTGTCCATCTACAACTAAAAAAATATTTTAAAAAGTGATTGCCCAGGAGATGTTGGCCAAAGAGTATACAGTTTCAGTGAAATAGGAGGAACAATTTCTCAAGATCTATTTCACAGTGTGGTTACCACAGTTAATAATAATGTATTGTGTATTTCAAAATTTCTAAAAGTAAATTTTAAAATGTTCTCACTACAAAAAAAAAAAAAAAGAGTAAGTGGAGCTGGGGATAGAGCACTTGCCCAGTACATGTGAAGCACAGGGTTCAATCCTCAGTACCACATTAAAAATAAATAAATAAAATAAAGGTATTATGTCCATCTACAACTAAAAAAAAAAGGAGTAAGTATGTGAAGTGATGGATATGTTAATTAGCTTGATATAACATCACACAATGTATACATATATCAAAACATCACATGTGGCCTAGAGGTACATGCCTATAATCCTAGGTACATGGGAGGCTGATGTAGGAGGATCACAAGTTGGAGATCAGCCTGGGCAAGTTAGCTATACCCTATCTTAAAATAACAAAAGGCTGGGAATGTAGCTCAGTGGTAGAGAGCTTGCTTAGCATGTCATGTGCAAGGCTCTGGGTTCAATCCCCAGCACCACACACACACACACACACAAATAGCATCACACTGTACCTCATAAATACACATAACTATTGTCAATTAAAAAACACAAAAATTATCATTCATCTTCCTTTGAAGAGAGTGAACAATGTGAACCATTTATACACTTTACTGCAGCCTTTATGGGGTTGAATAATTAATATGCCAAACAAGACTACTTTTCTGGAACTGGTAAAATCAATACAGTATAGAGAAAATAAATATTCAGAAAAAGTAAGCTGTTAAAGTCACCTTAGACTTTGAGTCGTGCTGATTTTTCCCCCTTGAATTTTCTAATGCATATTAGTTCCTCATTTCCTCTCTCTGACCAGACCCTGGCAATATCTGTACACAGTCAAACCAATATAGCATCATTAAAATCATCCATCCTATTCATCTTAATGATCCTCAGTTGAATTTTATGTACACAAATGATCAAGTACAGAAATCCCAAGGCCTAAATAACACTGAAATGAAATGGTCTGCTATGTACCTTACTGACTTTGAAAAATTCTTACATAATTTCCTCTAAAAATCAGTTTTGTAAGAGGCAAATGAAGACACCAATGACTTCTTCTTTTTAGGGGGCAGGAGAGATGCAGAGAATAATACCACATGATTCACTAGGTAATAGAAGAATAGTACTAAAATGAAATGAAGTCAAAATAAAATATCTGTCAAAAAAAATCTTACTTTTCTACACGAACTCCAAATAGAATGATTTTGGCAAATACTGAATCCAATCTGTTGAACAAAATTGAAATTCTGGTCTCAGGTTAAGGGCCAGCCCTCCTCTCCTGTCCCTAGAACAATCCTGACAACATCTTCTAGATCCTTACTGTGTGTCTCCTCCAAAGATGATAAACAGGGCAAAGAGAAGATGTCACCAACAGGTGGCTGAGGGACAGAATTGGTCTTCCGGTGAGTTTTGATTCACCTACATAGTGTTGGTGGTGCACAAGCTACTAAACAAATTTTAATAAAATTAGTTGCCAACGTTTAATGCTGGCCAATCTAGGTTTCCAACTTCATTTATGAGAATTAAATGCCATGGCCATGGTGGGAACACAATCCCCCGGGGCTACAGGGTTGGCAGAGGAAATGGATACCCCCTTAAGTAGGCCACCAGTTGTTCACCATGGTCACCTCTGCCATTTCCCTCATTCCCAGTCTCACTCATTCTCATTCCCTCCCTGGACTGTAGGTACAACTGCATTTGTGATCCCTGGGAGATAAAAGGTTAGTGGTTCAGCATCTGACTTTGGCACTTGCTACCTGGAAAAGTTAAGTCCCTACCATGTGCTGGGTATCATACCTATATAAATTGTACTAGGGGAGAGATGAGACAGTGTAGTATTCTTCTGTGGAATGTGGCTAAGAGCACACACTTTGTAGGAAAAAGCCCTGTTTCAGTGAATTGGCTATGTGTCATTTGCCACATGTGCCAGCAGCTTCTAACTCAATGCCCAGTGATCCCCATTCCCTGGTATTCACAACCTTATATAATCTCCTCCCCTGGATGTGACCTGGACCTCAGACTTGCTTCCTACGGGCAAAAGTAAGAGGATGTCTCTTTTGGGGATGAGCTTTCAAAAAAGACTGGCTTCTGTTCTGCTTGCCCTCTCTGACCTTCCCCCATTTGCTTGCTTGTCCTATGGAGAAGCCTGTAAAGTAAGGAAATGAGGGTGGACTTCAGCCATCAGCCACCCAGGAATGGAGGTTCTGAAAGAAACAGAACCAAGCTAACAGGCACCTGAGTAAGTTTGCAAGAGGATCGTTTGCCTGAGAAGCCTTGAGATAAGATCCTAACCAAAACTGATAACTTGATCACAGCCCTATGAGAAACTCAGAGCCAGAACACCCAGATAAATTGCTCCCAGATTCCTACTCTATGAGCATGGTCTACAAAATTCACCATGAATCAGCTCTTGCCTGCCTCTGGCCCTGCTCTCTGTCACCTCCTTCTTACACATTAAATCACAGTAACACCTAACACAAGGATCACATCACCTCTCACTTCTACCTCCATGTCGATCACCCAGATGTCACCTCTATCAAGAACCTTTCTCCCCAGACTCATGTGTACACCTCCGCCGTAGCACTTAGCACTTTGCAATGGCATCATCTCTCCTAGGGTCTGTCTCCTCATCACACTTATAAGCTCCTTAAAGGCAGGGTCCATAACCTCTTCCTCTTTCTATTCTGAGTACAGTGTCTGGCACTTAGTAGATTCACAATAAAACGAGGAACTAAAGAAATAGACTGTCAAGTGGCTGTCACTGGTAACTGGGATATCACTGGTAACCTCAACAAATGGGAAGGGAAAGGGTGGGGTTGGGTATAGCAGATGAGTGGAAGAGGGAAAGTATTGTCACCTGGAATAAGACAGAGAAGAAAGAAGATAGTAAATCAGAGAGGAAAACAAGACAGGTGTGGTGGTGCACACCTGTAATACCAGCAACCTGGGAGGCTGAGGCAGGAGGATTGCAAGTTAGAGGCCAGACAAGGCAACTTATGGAGGCCCTGTCTCAAAATTAAAAAGAAAAGGCTGGGCATGTGGTAGAGCACCTCTGGGTTCAATCCCCAGTACCAAAAAAAAAAAAAAAAAAAAAAAAGAAAAAGAAAGAAAGAAAAAGAAGAGAACAGTCAAACAACATAGCAAATGTGTATTTGACATTGGTATTTTGTTATTTCTGTGCTCTAAGATGAGAAACAATTAAACTTATAAAGAATTTTAGGTAACAAAAATAAAACATCTGGGGTCTGGGGTTGTGGCCTAGTGGTAGAGTGCTCACTTAGGACCTGAGTTCGATCCTCAGCACTGCATAAAAATGTAAATAAAAAAAATAAAAAGGTATTGTGTCCAACTACAACTAAAAAATAGATATTTTTAAAAAAATAATAAAATAAAATATATAACATGGAGCATGTTATGTAAAATTACAATACATCAATAAAAAGTATGGGGGAAAAAAATAACATGGAGTCTGGCTCCCAGCAAGCAATCTCTATAATATTCACTCCCTTCTTTTGCATTTCAATGTGCAAGTCAAGGAGCTAGCAGAGACATGATCAAGAGAAAGGGAACACACAGAACCCATACAAATAAAAGCAAAAGGCTGGGCATTTACCCTTGGAATCCCAACAGCTCCAGAGGCTGAGGCAGGAGGATTGCAGGTTCAAAGTCAGCCTCAGAAATTAGTGAGGCTACAAGCAATCTAGTGAGACTCTGTCTCGAAATAAAAAAATAAAATAAAATAAAAAGGATTGTGGATGTGACTCAGTGGTTAAATGTCCTTGAGTTCAATTCCTGGTACTAAAAAAAAAAAAAAGACAAACAAAGAACAACAAAAATGAGTAAGTGCAGGAAGTGGGCATGAAAACTCTTTAGGGGTGATGAAAACATTCTAAAATGGGATTGTAATGATGTTTGCTCAACTCTGTAAATTTACCAAAAAAAATTATATTTTTAAGTAAATATAGAACCAAAAATGGGGCAGGAGAACTTAAAATTTTTATGAAAGCATTCTTACTAGGTTCACTGCCTGCCTATGATCCCCTATAAAAGCATGGAGTGAAGCAGGTTGAAATAGGAAACACCCTTAGGAGGAGAACAAAGGGACTCTCCTCTCCTCTCCTTCTATTTAATGCCTTTTGACTGTCAATAAAAGGAATTTCAGGAAAAGTGATAATTTACAGGGTCAACCATGTTAGCCCAGGGATAGTTTATTGCCCTTCCCTATAATATTTTCTTATTTCTCACATGCACTTATTAAAATCAGTAATTGTGTCCTATTCTGGGGAACCAGATAACAAAACAATAACCAGAAGAGAGTGACATGAGACATGCACATACCTTATTAGAAATCTGTTAATATCTCTAAGAGAGATTGTGTTGTTTCCACTTTCATTCCAGATTTTAGTTATTCGAGTCTTCTTTCTTTCTCTCTCTCTCCTGTTTTTTCTTTGGTCCACCTAACTAAAGGTTTGTCAACTCTGTAGATCTTTCCAAAGAACCAACTTTCAATTTTATCGATTTCTGCTCTATTCTTAATTATTATTTCCTTCTTCATTGCTTTGGATTTAGTTTGCTCTTCTCTTTATAGTTTCTTAAGATGGAAAGCTAGGTTACTGATTTGAGAAATTTCTTCTTCTCTGTTACATGCATTTTCATCTATAAATTTCCCTCGAAGCACTGCTTTAGCCGCATTCCATAAGGTTTGTTATAAAGCTTTTGTTACAAACCTTTCCTGACTCATTTTCCTTCACTTTATTCCAGATCTTTATAAAGCACGCAGTAGTAGCACATTTCTTAGGGTTGGTTTGTTGGTTTTTGTTGTTTTTTTGAAACTCATAGACATTGATATTTGTTAGATTCTTCCTTTTCTAGAATTGTTCCTTCCTTCTCTTCATTTCTAGGATGTCTTTGCTTTCTTTTTTAATTTTTATATTTTTCTTGTTCTCCCCACCCCCGGCTATTGATTGTTTTGCAACTGCATGGAGAAATAGTAGTGAAGAAAAAGCAGGAAATAAGAGGCAGTCACTGAAAGGAAAAAAGAGATGGAGAAAGGCACTTACTGGTGTCCTATAGAAAATAATTATTAAAGCATAATAAAATGGGACTATCAGTTTTAGTTCATTCAGACCAAACAAGTAAAAAATTATCAAACTCTCTACAATTTTTCTTACACATTTTGTAAAAAAAATTTTTTTAATGAAATTCATTTCATGTAGGGAAGGTAGGATGAAGAGAAGACTAAGGTTTTTAAAAGATCTATTATTGATGAAAATATTTGTTATCCATTAGAAAATTTTTATGCAAATGGATGGATAAGAATCCTTAAATCAATTGGGTGCAGTATACCTATAATTCCAGCTACTCAGAAGGCTGAGACAGGAGGATCCCAAATTCAAGACCAGCCTGAGAAACTTAGTGAGATCTTGTCTCAAAATAAAATAAAAAGTGCTGTAGTTCAGTACTAGAGTGCTTGCCTTGCATGCATGAAGCCCTGGGTTTGATCCATATACCACACACACAGAAAATAATCTTAAATCTATTATTCAAAAGAAAAAGAGACTGAAAAATAAAACAAACAGATGTTTACCTAGAAAGCTCTCAAGAAACCCATTAAACAACTTCCTAAAATTTCTAACTCGGTGTAGCAATGGTATATTGGCAATACAAGGTCCCTAAACTATCAAGGGCTTTAAAAGCTGAACAACACCTAGGATCCTCAGAAGAAAAGAAAGAAGATTATCACGGACCTAGATAGGTCTGAGACTTAAAGGAACTACTATGCATACAGAATGAATGTATGAGTTGGTGTTCCATAGTTGGGTCTATCAATTTGTTTTAGTCAGCAATTTTGCTGCTGTGACTAAAAGACCTGAGCAGCACAATTGTAGAGGAGGAAAAGTTTATTTGAGGGCCCACAGTTTTTAGTCCATAGAAGGCTGGCTCCATTCCTCAGGGCTCAAAGTGAGGCAAAACATCATGGCTTGAGAGTGTGGTAGAGGAAGCAGCTCACATGATGATGAGTATGCACAGAGAGAGAGACTCCACTCACCAGATACAAATATACAGAGCCACGCCCCCAATGACCCACCTCCTACAGCCACACCACACCCTGCCCACCTTCAGTTACCACTCGGTTAATCCCATCAGGGGATTAATTCACTGATTGGGATAAGGCTTTCACAACCCAATCATTTCTCCTCTGAACCTTCTTGCATTGCCTCACACATGGCTTTTGGTGGATACCTCACATCCAAACTACAACACAATTAGTTTAGGTCTGGCAGGGGTAATGTTAAGAGTTCCAAGGGAAACAAGTCAAGCTTCCCAGAGTACAGAATAGTCATCTGGAACATGGAAATTTAGCTTGCTGCTTTGAGGATTTCTGGAATTCTTATACACAGGATAATATTATAGGTTTCTAGTTAAGATGGGGGCACACTCCAGTGTTTTGGAAAATTTAAGAAAGAAGCCCATGAATCTAGGGGAAAAATGAGCAATTCTTCTTAGTTTGAGATATGGAAGTAAGGTACTCAGAGTTTTGGTACCATGTAATACCATGGAGAAAAAGCAGAAAATGGGGATGTGGAGACACCTAAGCCTTTAAGGACAGACTAGGGATGTAGCTCAGAGGTAGAATTCTTGTCTAGCATGCACAAGGCCCTGGGTTTGATCACCAGCACCACAATCTGACAATTTAAATATTATTAATAATATTACTATTTCGTGTAATAGTTCATGTAAAGTCAGCAAGCAGAAAAAAAAGTACATATTCAATATGCACAAACCAAATAAACTTCTGGTAGAGTTTCATTTTCACATCGTCTTTTCTATAGCAATTATATATATATTTAGTAATAAAAATGTTACTTATACTAATCAAAGAAAATCTGAATAAAAACTAGAAGGAAGTTTTTTATACATTTAAAAAATAATATCAATGAGTTCCTTTGCTAACAAAGAAGTCAACACTGTCACAGAAACAGTGTGATGTGTCTGATGTTGATATCACACTCTTCCTTTATGTGCAAATAGAACCACCAGATCTTGTTTTTACCTGATTTGTCTGTAGAATCTTCAAATTCCACAAGGAAAGAGTACCCATTATTCCAGACGTGGAGGCAGGTAGCCGGGTCATAAGAGATGGTGAGAGGTTTTAAGCCAGGATCATAAACACTGTCCTTCCACCGGATATTGATGGGTGACTGACGATCACCCCCAGGAAGCAGGTCCACACTCTCCCAGAGTGGATGCACTAGGAGAGAGCAGGGTGGGACCATTAGCAAGAGCAGGAGGCAGTCCCACTTGGGGAGAATCGACACAGGCCAATGGCAACTGGAAGTCTTTGGAATTAGCGACTCAGAGCCTCAACTGCCTAAAGCACAGGATAAAGGCAGACCAGAGAGCACCTTGCATGGGCTCATGTCTGCCATCTTGAAAAGCCAACATGTCCCATCTGCCTACTAATGTCCCCTGAACTCAGTGCTGTCAAGTCCTGTCACAACAGCAAAATGATTAGTGCCAGCTGCAAATGGGGTTTTCACAAGTGAATTTCTTTGTTTCATGGCTAATGTCCCAAGCCCCCAACTGGCTTTAAACACAAAGTCAAGTCAATTTAATTTCCAGTGACAGACTTCATTTTGAGCCAAGGGAATGGGGGAAGAATTTTGGAAAGCAAACTTTCATCGAGTGCAGCGTCTTCAGCTGGGTGGCTAGGGTAAACTGCTGACATGCGCAGTGTGCACGCTGAGCTCACCCCTGTGCCAGCCATCAGGCAGCCGTCATGCAAGGCCAGGGCGAATATCAACATTGCCCAGGTCCCTCAAGTTCCCGGCCTGTCACTCAAATGTGGACATCATCTATTATGGTGTGTATACATGGTTTGTCCCCCACAGCCACTGACGATGTGACTGATGCTGACTCTTTCCCACAGAATCAAGCCCCAGGGCTTTGCAGCAATAAATATCAGTGGACTTCCTGCTAACAGAGACCTGTTGAGACACCCACATGTGATGAATGGAACCCTCATCTAGTGGTTTGGGGTGGTCCAGTTCCCAGCCTTGTAGAAGCATCATGGATGGGTAGAATCAAAATCAACTGGAAATGTGAATGGACAGAAGTCGTTGCCAATGGCCCCTGCATCTTGCCCCACCACTAAGAATGAGTAAGGATT